TTGTTTCTACAAGTAGAAATTATTGCAAACTCAACCATTATGGAGTAGTCACTACAAAGCGCAAAAAAAAAAAAAAAAAAAAAAAGTTCAGATTCCCTAACACAGACATCAGATTTCAGGTGCTAAGACTCATTGCCGTGTCTCATGGGGAAACTTTGAGCCAGGCTTCCCCTTTTTAATAAGTTAGTTTCCACGCCGATTTTTTTTTTTCGATTCTAAACCCGATCACCCCGTTTGCAAGCAGGTTGAACGTTACTAAGAACAACCAACAATCCGAGATGTTTTTAATGTCCTATATGAATACTGCTTTTCTTTTGTTAAAAATCTTCAATTAATGTTTTCCACAACAAAAGTAAACCGGGGAAATCACTCTATCTCAAACAACAAACATCAGATTGGCCTGAAATTTTTTCTACAAGTAGAAGTCATTACCATCTGCCTTCAGAGAAAATTTCAGCTTGATGAGTTGTGCCGTTAATTTAAAAAAAATAGTGATAGGTTTATTACACAAAAAAGTATAATTATTCCACAACAAACGTAAAACGGGGAAATCACTCTATCTCAAACAACAAACATCAGATTGGCCTGAAATTTTTTCTACAAGTAGAAGTCATTACCATCTGCCTTCAGAGAAAATTTCAGCTTGATGAGCTGTGCCGTTAATTTTTAAAAAATAATGATAGGTTTATTACACAAAAAAGTATAATTATTCCACAACAAACGTAAAACGGGGAAATCACTCTATCTCAAACAACAAACATCAGATTGGCCTGAAATTTTTTCTACAAGTAGAAGTCATTACCAACTGCCTTCTGTGAAAATTTCGGCTTGATAAGTTGCGCCGTTTATTTAAAAAAATCGTAATAGATTTATTACACAAGAGTAAAACAGGCAAATCGCTCTATCTCTAACCCCAACCTTCAGATTGGCCTGAAATTGTTTCTACAAGTAGAAATTATTGCAAACTCAACCATTATGGAGTAGTCACTACAAAGCGCAAAAAAAAAAAAAAAAAAAAAAAAAAAAAAAAAAAAAAAAAAAAAAAAAAAAAAAAAAGTTCAGATTCCCTAACACAGACATCAGATTTCAGGTCCTAAGACTCATTGCCGTGTCTCATGGGGAAACTTTGAGCCAGGCTTCCCCTTTTTAATAAGTTAGTTTCCACGCCGATTTTTTTTCCGATTCTAAACCCGATCACCCCGTTTGCAAGCAGGTTGAACGTTACTAAGAACAACCAACAATCCGAGATGTTTTTAATGTCCTATATGAATACTGCTTTTCTTTTGTTAAAAATCTTCAATTAATGTTTTCCACAACAAAAGTAAACCGGGGAAATCACTCTATCTCTAACCCCAACCGTCTGATTGGCCTGAAATTTTTTCTACAAGTAGAAGTCATAACCAACTGCCTGCTGTACAAATTTCAGCTTGATGAGTTGTGCCGTTATTTTTTAAAAAATATTGATAGGTTTATTACACACAAAAGTATAAATTTTCCACAACAAACGTAAAACGGGGAAATCACTCTATCTCAAACAACAAACATCAGATTAGCCTGAAATTTTTTCTACAAGTAGAAGTCATTACCATCTGCCTTCAGAGAAAATTTCAGCTTGATGAGTTGTGCCGTTAATTTTTAAAAAATAGTGATAGGTTTATTACACAAAAAAGTATAATTATTCCACAACAAACGTAAAACGGGGAAATCACTCTATCTCAAACAACAAACATCAGATTGGCCTGAAATTTTTTCTACAAGTAGAAGTCATTACCATCTGCCTTCAGAGAAAATTTCAGCTTGATGAGTTGCGCCGTTAATTTTTAAAAAATAGTGATAGGTTTATTACACAAAAAAGTATAATTATTCCACAACAAACGTAAAACGGGGAAATCACTCTATCTCAAACAACAAACATCAGATTGGCCTGAAATTTTTTCTACAAGTAGAAGTCATTACCAACTGCCTGCTGTAAAAATTTCAGCTTGATGAGTTGTGCCGTTATTTTTTAAAAAATATTGATAGGTTTATTACACAAAAAAGTATAAATTTTCCACAACAAACGTAAAACGGGGAAATCACTCTATCTCAAACAACAAACATCAGATTGGCCTGAATTTTTTTCTACAAGTAGAAGTCATTACCAACTGCCTTCTGTGAAAATTTCAGCTTGATAAACTGTGCCGTTAATTTTTAAAAAATAGTGATAGGTTTATTACACAAAAAAGTATAATTATTCCACAACAAACGTAAAACGGGGAAATCACTCTATCTCAAACAACAAACATCAGATTGGCCTGAAATTTTTTCTACAAGTAGAAGTCATTACCAACTGCCTTCTGTGAAAATTTCGGCTTGATAAGTTGCGCCGTTTATTTAAAAAAATCGTAATAGATTTATTACACAAGAGTAAAACAGGCAAATCGCTCTATCTCTAACCCCAACCTTCAGATTGGCCTGAAATTGTTTCTACAAGTAGAAATTATTGCAAACTCAACCATTATGGAGTAGTCACTACAAAGCGCAAAAAAAAAAAAAAAAAAAAAGTTCAGATTCCCTAACACAGACATCAGATTTCAGGTGCTAAGACTCATTGCCGTGTCACATGGGGAAACTTTGAGCCAGGCTTCCCCTTTTTAATAAGTTAGTTTCCACGCCGATTTTTTTTTTTCGATTCTAAACCCGATCACCCCGTTTGCAAGCAGGTTGAACGTTACTAAGAACAACCAACAATCCGAGATGTTTTTAATGTCCTATATGAATACTGCTTTTCTTTTGTTAAAAATCTTCAATTAATGTTTTCCACAACAAAAGTAAACCGGGGAAATCACTCTATCTCTAACCCCAACCGTCAGATTGGCCTGAAATTTTTTCTACAAGTAGAAGTCATTACCAACTGCCTACTGTAAAAATTTCAGCTTGATGAGTTGTGCCGTTAATTTTTAAAAAATAGTGATAGGTTTATTACACAAAAAAGTATAAATTTTCCACAACAAACGTAAAACGGGGAAATCACTCTATCTCAAACAACAAACATCAGATTGGCCTGAAATTTTTTCTACAAGTAGAAGTCATTACCATCTGCCTTCAGAGAAAATTTCAGCTTGATGAGCTGTGCCGTTATTTTTAAAAAAATATTGATAGGTTTATTACACAAAAAAGTATAAATTTTCCACAACAAACGTAAAACGGGGAAATCACTCTATCTCAAACAACAAACATCAGATTGGCCTGAAATTTTTTCTACAAGTAGAAGTCATTACCATCTGCCTTCAGAGAAAATTTCAGCTTGATGAGTTGTGCCGTTAATTTAAAAAAAATAGTGATAGGTTTATTACACAAAAAAGTATAATTATTCCACAACAAACGTAAAACGGGGAAATCACTCTATCTCAAACAACAAACATCAGATTGGCCTGAAATTTTTTCTACAAGTAGAAGTCATTACCATCTGCCTTCAGAGAAAATTTCAGCTTGATGAGTTGCGCCGTTAATTTTTAAAAAATAGTGATAGGTTTATTACACAAAAAAGTATAATTATTCCACAACAAACGTAAAACGGGGAAATCACTCTATCTCAAACAACAAACATCAGATTGGCCTGAAATTTTTTCTACAAGTAGAAGTCATTACCATCTGCCTTCAGAGAAAATTTCAGCTTGATGAGTTTTGCCGTTATTTTTTAAAAAATATTGATAGGTTTATTACACAAAAAAGTATAAATTTTCCACAACAAACGTAAAACGGGGAAATCACTCTATCTCAAACAACAAACATCAGATTGGCCTGAAATTTTTTCTACAAGTAGAAGTCATTACCATCTGCCTTCAGAGAAAATTTCAGCTTGATGAGTTGTGCCGTTAATTTAAAAAAAATAGTGATAGGTTTATTACACAAAAAAGTATAAATTTTCCACAACAAACGTAAAACGGGGAAATCACTCTATCTCAAACAACAAACATCAGATTGGCCTGAAATTTTTTCTACAAGTAGAAGTCATTACCAACTGCCTTCTGTGAAAATTTCAGCTTGAGTAACTGCGCCGTTAATTTTTAAAAAATAGTGATAGGTTTATTACACAAAAAAGTATAAATTTTCCACAACAAACGTAAAACGGGGAAATCACTCTATCTCAAACAACAAACATCAGATTGGCCTGAAATTTTTTCTACAAGTAGAAGTCATTACCATCTGCCTTCAGAGAAAATTTCAGCTTGATGAGTTGTGCCGTTAATTTAAAAAAAATAGTGATAGGTTTATTACACAAAATGATGATGTTGAGTGATGAGTTGCGCCGTTAATTTTTAAAAAATAGTGATAGGTTTATTACACAAAAAAGTATAATTATTCCACAACAAACGTAAAACGGGGAAATCACTCTATCTCAAACAACAAACATCAGATTGGCCTGAAATTTTTTCTACAAGTAGAAGTCATTACCATCTGCCTTCAGAGAAAATTTCAGCTTGATGAGCTGTGCCGTTATTTTTTAAAAAATATTGATAGGTTTATTACACAAAAAAGTATAAATTTTCCACAACAAACGTAAAACGGGGAAATCACTCTATCTCAAACAACAAACATCAGATTGGCCTGAATTTTTTTCTACAAGTAGAAGTCATTACCAACTGCCTTCTGTGAAAATTTCAGCTTGATAAACTGCGCCGTTAATTTTTAAAAAATAGTGATAGGTTTATTACACAAAAAAGTATAATTATTCCACAACAAACGTAAAACGGGGAAATCACTCTATCTCAAACAACAAACATCAGATTGGCCTGAAATTTTTTCTACAAGTAGAAGTCATTACCAACTGCCTTCTGTGAAAATTTCGGCTTGATAAGTTGCGCCGTTTATTTAAAAAAATCGTAATAGATTTATTACACAAGAGTAAAACAGGCAAATCGCTCTATCTCTAACCCCAACCTTCAGATTGGCCTGAAATTGTTTCTACAAGTAGAAATTATTGCAAACTCAACCATTATGGAGTAGTCACTACAAAGCGCAAAAAAAAAAAAAAAAAAAAAAAAAAAAAAAAAAAAAAAAAAAAAAAAAAAAAAAAAAAAAAAAAAAAAAAAAGTTCAGATTCCCTAACACAGACATCAGATTTCAGGTCCTAAGACTCATTGCCGTGTCTCATGGGGAAACTTTGAGCCAGGCTTCCCCTTTTTAATAAGTTAGTTTCCACGCCGATTTTTTTTTTTCGATTCTAAACCCGATCACCCCGTTTGCAAGCAGGTTGAACGTTACTAAGAACAACCAACAATCCGAGATGTTTTTAATGTCCTATATGAATACTGCTTTTCTTTTGTTAAAAATCTTCAATTAATGTTTTCCACAACAAAAGTAAACCGGGGAAATCACTCTATCTCTAACCCCAACCGTCAGATTGGCCTGAAATTTTTTCTACAAGTAGAAGTCATTACCAACTGCCTACTGTAAAAATTTCAGCTTGATGAGCTGTGCCGTTATTTTTAAAAAAATATTGATAGGTTTATTACACAAAAAAGTATAAATTTTCCACAACAAACGTAAAACGGGGAAATCACTCTATCTCAAACAACAAACATCAGATTGGCCTGAATTTTTTTCTACAAGTAGAAGTCATTACCAACTGCCTGCTGTAAAAATATCAGCTTGATGAGTTGTGCCGTTATTTTTTTAAAAATATTGATAGGTTTATTACACAAAAAAGTATAAATTTTCCACAACAAACGTAAAACGGGGAAATCACTCTATCTCAAACAACAAACATCAGATTGGCCTGAAATTTTTTCTACAAGTAGAAGTCATTACCATCTGCCTTCAGAGAAAATTTCAGCTTGATGAGTTGTGCCGTTAATTTAAAAAAAATAGTGATAGGTTTATTACACAAAAAAGTATAATTATTCCACAACAAACGTAAAACGGGGAAATCACTCTATCTCAAACAACAAACATCAGATTGGCCTGAAATTTTTTCTACAAGTAGAAGTCATTACCATCTGCCTTCAGAGAAAATTTCAGCTTGATGAGCTGTGCCGTTATTTTTTAAAAAATATTGATAGGTTTATTACACAAAAAAGTATAAATTTTCCACAACAAACGTAAAACGGGGAAATCACTCTATCTCAAACAACAAACATCAGATTGGCCTGAAATTTTTTCTACAAGTAGAAGTCATTACCATCTGCCTTCAGAGAAAATTTCAGCTTGATGAGTTGTGCCGTTTATTTACAAAAAAAATAGTGATAGGTTTATTACACAAAAAAGTATAAATTTTCCACAACAAACGTAAAACGGGGAAATCACTCTATCTCAAACAACAAACATCAGATTGGCCTGAAATTTTTTCTACAAGTAGAAGTCATTACCAACTGCCTTCTGTGAAAATTTCAGCTTGATAAACTGCGCCGTTAATTTTTAAAAAATAGTGATAGGTTTATTACACAAAAAAGTATAAATTTTCCACAACAAACGTAAAACGGGGAAATCACTCTATCTCAAACAACAAACATCAGATTGGCCTGAAATTTTTTCTACAAGTAGAAGTCATTACCATCTGCCTTCAGAGAAAATTTCAGCTTGATGAGTTGTGCCGTTAATTTAAAAAAAATAGTGATAGGTTTATTACACAAAATGATGATGTTGAGTGATGAGTTGCGCCGTTAATTTTTAAAAAATAGTGATAGGTTTATTACACAAAAAAGTATAATTATTCCACAACAAACGTAAAACGGGGAAATCACTCTATCTCAAACAACAAACATCAGATTGGCCTGAAATTTTTTCTACAAGTAGAAGTCATTACCATCTGCCTTCAGAGAAAATTTCAGCTTGATGAGCTGTGCCGTTATTTTTTAAAAAATATTGATAGGTTTATTACACAAAAAAGTATAAATTTTCCACAACAAACGTAAAACGGGGAAATCACTCTATCTCAAACAACAAACATCAGATTGGCCTGAAATTTTTTCTACAAGTAGAAGTCATTACCATCTGCCTTCAGAGAAAATTTCAGTTTGATGAGTTAAGCCGTTATTTTTTTAAAAATATTGATAGGTTTATTACACAAAAAAGTATAAATTTTCCACAACAAACGTAAATCGGGGAAATCACTCTATCTCAAACAACAAACATCAGATTGGCCTGAAATTTTTTCTACAAGTAGAAGTCATTACCAACTGCCTTCTGTGAAAATTTCGGCTTGATAAGTTGCGCCGTTTATTTAAAAAAATCGTAATAGATTTATTACACAAGAGTAAAACAGGCAAATCGCTCTATCTCTAACCCCAACCTTCAGATTGGCCTGAAATTGTTTCTTCAAGTAGAAATTATTGCAAACTCAACCATTATGGAGTAGTCACTACAAAGCGCAAAAAAAAAAAAAAAAAAAAAAAAAAAAAAAAAAAAAAAAAAAAAAGTTCAGATTCCCTAACACAGACATCAGATTTCAGGTGCTAAGACTCATTGCCGTGTCACATGGGGAAACTTTGAGCCAGGCTTCCCCTTTTTAATAAGTTAGTTTCCACGCCGATTTTTTTTTCGATTCTAAACCCGATCACCCCGTTTGCAAGCAGGTTGAACGTTACTAAGAACAACCAACAATCCGAGATGTTTTTAATGTCCTATATGAATACTGCTTTTCTTTTGTTAAAAATCTTCAATTAATGTTTTCCACAACAAAAGTAAACCGGGGAAATCACTCTATCTCTAACCCCAACCGTCAGATTGGCCTGAAATTTTTTCTACAAGTAGAAGTCATTACCAACTGCCTACTGTAAAAATTTCAGCTTGATGAGTTGTGCCGTTAATTTTTAAAAAATAGTGATAGGTTTATTACACAAAAAAGTATAAATTTTCCACAACAAACGTAAAACGGGGAAATCACTCTATCTCAAACAACAAACATCAGATTGGCCTGAAATTTTTTCTACAAGTAGAAGTCATTACCATCTGCCTTCAGATAAAAATTTCAGCTTAATGAGCTGTGCCGTTATTTTTTAAAAAATATTGATAGGTTTATTACACAAAAAAGTATAAATTTTCCACAACAAACGTAAAACGGGGAAATCACTCTATCTCAAACAACAAACATCAGATTGGCCTGAAATTTTTTCTACAAGTAGAAGTCATTACCAACTGCCTGCTGTAAAAATTTCAGCTTGATGAGTTGTGCCGTTATTTTTAAAAAAATATTGATAGGTTTATTACACAAAAAAGTATAAATTTTCCACAACAAACGTAAAACGGGGAAATCACTCTATCTCAAACAACAAACATCAGTTTATCCTGAAATTTTTTCTACAAGTAGAAGTCATTACCATCTGCCTTCAGAGAAAATTTCAGCTTGATGAGTTGTGCCGTTAATTTTTAAAAAATAGTGATAGGTTTATTACACAAAAAAGTATAATTATTCCACAACAAACGTAAAACGGGGAAATCACTCTATCTCAAACAACAAACATCAGATTGGCCTGAAATTTTTTCTACAAGTAGAAGTCATTACCATCTGCCTTCAGAGAAAATTTCAGCTTGATGAGTTGCGCCGTTAATTTTTAAAAAATAGTGATAGGTTTATTACACAAAAAAGTATAATTATTCCACAACAAACGTAAAACGGGGAAATCACTCTATCTCAAACAACAAACATCAGATTGGCCTGAAATTTTTTCTACAAGTAGAAGTCATTGCCATCTGCCTTCAGAGAAAATTTCAGCTTGATGAGCTGTGCCGTTATTTTTTAAAAAATATTGATAGGTTTATTACACAAAAAAGTATAAATTTTCCACAACAAACGTAAAACGGGGAAATCACTCTATCTCAAACAACAAACATCAGATTGGCCTGAAATTTTTTCTACAAGTAGAAGTCATTACCATCTGCCTTCAGAGAAAATTTCAGCTTGATGAGCTGTGCCGTTATTTTTTAAAAAATATTGATAGGTTTATTACACAAAAAAGTATAAATTTTCCACAACAAACGTAAAACGGGGAAATCACTCTATCTCAAACAACAAACATCAGATTGGCCTGAATTTTTTTCTACAAGTAGAAGTCATTACCAACTGCCTTCTGTGAAAATTTCAGCTTGATAAACTGTGCCGTTAATTTTTAAAAAATAGTGATAGGTTTATTACACAAAAAAGTATAATTATTCCACAACAAACGTAAAACGGGGAAATCACTCTATCTCAAACAACAAACATCAGATTGGCCTGAAATTTTTTCTACAAGTAGAAGTCATTACCAACTGCCTTCTGTGAAAATTTCGGCTTGATAAGTTGCGCCGTTTATTTAAAAAAATCGTAATAGATTTATTACACAAGAGTAAAACAGGCAAATCGCTCTATCTCTAACCCCAACCTTCAGATTGGCCTGAAATTGTTTCTACAAGTAGAAATTATTGCAAACTCAACCATTATGGAGTAGTCACTACAAAGCGCAAAAAAAAAAAAAAAAAAAAAGTTCAGATTCCCTAACACAGACATCAGATTTCAGGTGCTAAGACTCATTGCCGTGTCACATGGGGAAACTTTGAGCCAGGCTTCCCCTTTTTAATAAGTTAGTTTCCACGCCGATTTTTTTTTTCGATTCTAAACCCGATCACCCCGTTTGCAAGCAGGTTGAACGTTACTAAGAACAACCAACAATCCGAGATGTTTTTAATGTCCTATATGAATACTGCTTTTCTTTTGTTAAAAATCTTCAATTAATGTTTTCCACAACAAAAGTAAACCGGGGAAATCACTCTATCTCTAACCCCAACCGTCAGATTGGCCTGAAATTTTTTCTACAAGTAGAAGTCATTACCAACTGCCTACTGTAAAAATTTCAGCTTGATGAGCTGTGCCGTTATTTTTAAAAAAATATTGATAGGTTTATTACACAAAAAAGTATAAATTTTCCACAACAAACGTAAAACGGGGAAATCACTCTATCTCAAACAACAAACATCAGATTGGCCTGAAATTTTTTCTACAAGTAGAAGTCATTACCATCTGCCTTCAGAGAAAATTTCAGCTTGATGAGTTGTGCCGTTAATTTAAAAAAAATAGTGATAGGTTTATTACACAAAAAAGTATAATTATTCCACAACAA